TCCAGATGCTTGGCCATCGCCTTTCCGCTCTCCATCTTGATGCAGACGTCGTTTCATGGTGACACGGTTCTGGAACGTGGAACGATTCTAGAAGTCCCTTATCGTCCCCCAGGCGTGCACGGCACGTGAAGCAGATCGAAAGTTTTTCTGATGCTGTAGTTCCACCCCTTGAGCGATGATCTCGAAGTGCCTTTGCGTCAATGACAAGCCACGCCTCTGTGATCTCGTTCTCGGGCTTTACAACCTCAACATGCGCCAAAAGCCCCTTTCGGGCCAAGGTCATGCGCATGTTGTACTCCCAGTGATAGTAGTTCCCACTCCCCAGGAGGCCTTTGGCGCATTTGGAGGTCATGTTTTGAACGTTACGGTCGGTAGCGTTGCGGCTGTTTGTCCTGTTGGATTGAGGTTGTTGTTGGAGGAAAATGCCGAAGTGAGTAAATCTAAATTTACCGAAAACTACTCTCTGTTATCCTTCTTCCATTCAATGTCCTTCTAGAATCGTCTGCTTTCCAACCATAACATATTAGCCAATCAGGTGGCCGTATCTGAGGTTCAGGGTAACTGCTCGCACGGTCCCAAACCGTGCATGAGCGAGGCACATGGCATCGACATCATTAATGAAATCGATTTTGTATTGGAGAAAGGCTGCGCGCAGGCCAGCTTCCGAGATCTTTCCCATGATGTCGGCAAACATACTACCAAAATGCATGTCAAATATCGCTCTCTCTTTTGCATGTTGTTGCTTGATACGAGCCAGCTGTCCATCGCAAGCTAGCTCTATAGCATTGTTGACAGACAATATATCGCCAGTCGATGATCCGATCCAGGGTTTCAGGGCAGCATACGTACTTTTAACGCGAGACGTGGTGACGTGTCCATAGTGCTGCTTGTTGCGGAGAAAACAGGTCACACATATCTCTCTCCAACACAGCAACGTTCCGCCGACATATCGAACGACCCGCGGATGCGATATACCCTAGCTCTCGCGCATATTTTCCGCCTATCTTTGAAAGTCTGTATTTGATCTTGTGACACTAAGATGTTCCAGGATTTGAGAAAGGCCTCACAATCTTCGTTTGTGGTGAAAGACTTCTTAGGCTTGGCAAGAATGTTCTTTGATATATGTCAGCGGAAAAGCAACCCGTTCACGTACGGAAATACTATGTCACTCGCGCGCATCAAAGCCATCTCTTGGTCTGCTAAAAATGTCTTAGGTATAATACTTACCTCGCAAAATTCCTGTTGCAGCTTCTGCATTGCCTAGACGTAGTTTGCCTCTCGATCTGCTTGCATAAGCAGTATGACAGAGTAAAGGTATGGTCGGTGCTGGTAACTCCGACGATATGGAGCAATATGATTCCATACCTGTTGGTCTGTAAGTCCATCAGCCATACTATCCCGGCAGTGTATCTGGAACAAAATTCCTCGGCCGACGGAGATAAAAAAAGATGGGTCAGTTTTTGCCCATCTTCTTCGCGTGCAGTATGGTGATTTACGCCTGAAGCAACAAGTCCATCAAGCAGTGACCGAACTGGTGTTCTACCTTGTAACCTTACAGCGCGACCATTGTTACGGATGTTGTAAACATTCTGAGCGGTGGCATTTATGATGCTGTCGTTGTGGAGAGAAGAAACAATAGTAGCAGGTTTGACACCAGCACTGGTCGATAAGAGGACTCGCTCGCGAGCCTCTTCGTGTAACGCGACCACTCGGATGTGCAGAGGCTTCATCAAACGCTTCATAATTGTGCTTCCCTCTAACGACTGTAACTTTCGAGAGCCTATCTATGCGTTAAATGAAAGCTTCAAAACGGCACATAGTGCTTCTACTAGCCCTTATGCGCTTGATCGTTCTGCGTTTTTGATTCTTCGTCAACAGCAACTGGCTTGTATCTATTTCCCTGTGAACGCCATATGAGTAATACGTTTGGTTGCACCATATTTCCTGTTACCCACCCTCTTGGTACGCTTGTTCGTTTGGACAAAGCCTTGAGCTCTTGCATATTCATTAAGTGCCTTACGGGCTTGCTCCAGGGTATCGTATGTAGTTTTCTGGAGGTGGTAGCAAAGCCATATGATAATGACTGACTATGGTGTTTAAGCGCTGAAATAAGTTCTTCAATAGTTGAAAAAGTAGCGTGTGGGCGAAAGAAAAAAGGATGCAAATATTGTGATGGGATTGGCTGTCAGTATTGAGCAATATGACGCTTAATTATGACTTATCAAAAATATGAAAACTACATAAACCACCGTAACATGTAGGGGTGGGGGTGGCTAACGAAGATCGGGGGGGGGGTAATTAACGCTGCTCTTTTTGTTTTTCGATAATTTGGGGTATTTATTTCACTTTCGTGATAATATGGGCCATTTTTTTGTTTTCCCGTAAAATAAATAACCATCAAATGGCAAATATTATAGACACAATAAATATTGTTAATGCTCCACGAATTTACGCATGCCATGGTAAAAACGTCGTTGCTTCTATCAGCATTTAGCGTACGGTCAAGCACTTCCCAAATTCTCACGTGGCATTTCGACGTATAAGTCGCTGTACATAGAGAGTAGGCACTGTTTTGTGCAAATGTCCCCTCCTAAAATACCAACTCGAAGTAGTATGCTGTTAGTATGAGGAAAGCAAGACGCTGTGCAGTCTTGGTTTTCGATGTTGCTTCTACGTCGTCATTCCGATGAACATCACTGCCTAGTTATCTGTACTCTCGATCTTTCACTCTTCTGATCTGATTCAACTGCGACACTCGCCCTGGAAATGAGAACCACTTGCGAGCCCACAACATGCACTCTTGAGTGAGCTCGGGGCGCCACAAACAAAGGGCGCACGAAATCATGCAACCGGCATGGACATTTCTCACAACCAGATAACGAGTAATGTCCGCGATATGCATAATTTTGCAATGCTTTTGGCGGGGTCGTCTCCGTCATAGATAAAGCTGCGTTACTTCGCACCGCCAACGATGTGGCTGCGTCAACTTAATATGACGTTTCTTCGAGACCGAGGCTAGTTCAGCTCGTATGCGTCGATCCCGCTTATTCATCGCATTCGAGAAAAAGCTGCGTCGCTCAAGGGTAACCGTTTGGCGCCTGATTCGATGGTATATTTGGACATGAGACGCACTCGATTTTGCGCGCTGTATTTTCTTGCCCCTGTTTGCCTAACCTGTTGCAAACACGCGTATTGTCCAAGCCGATTTATCGTTTTCGAGAGGGTACGAAAAAGGCGGGATATCAGAGAGCATCAGTGCAACATACGTGCAGAAAGTTTCGGAACTTCAGAGTGCTGTTTACGTATCGAGCTTTGGGGAGAGCTTCGAAAACGAGTCCAGTCTCTTTGCGTCAACGTGGGATCTCCGCGCATTGCTGTTGGTCCAGTATTTCCAGTAAGGTTACCGAACGTGGAAGCCGACACGCAAGTGGTTTGGCGAAGCAGTTTATCTCCTACTAAACTCGAAGAATGTGCAAAATACTGCTTGAACACGATGAGAAGGGCCTTTGTCGTATGGAGCGAACTACAGCACCGTGGTGATTATGCAGAAGTCAACGATAAGCTTCGAAACGCGCCTTTCATCGCAGTGCGTCATGAGCATCCGTTGATCGATGTGGTCGTTCTTGTCATGCAAAGCTCTGCTATTCCGAGCACCCAGTATCGTGACAAGAGAACGGCGACAGCCGCGGGACTAATCAGTCTCTATCGCACGATCTCTATGACAGCGAACGATATATGAGACCGTAGCGGCTTTCGTGCACGTGATCACCGTAAACTGACGGGACGTTTCTCAGCTCCATGCAAAGTCTGTGCTGGCAGCTTGGCGCCCCGCACATGGCTATCTAGCTCCTGGACTGCTTGTACCCGTGACGTGCGTGGACCGATGTTGCAGCTGTAAGTATGGGGTGTGGAACGACAGGACGCTTTGCTGCACACCGCTGTGTAGAGGCGTGCGGTCCAGTCTTTACTGCGCACAGACATCAAGCTGTAACGCAAGCCACGTAGCAGGCGATGTCATTCATTGCAGCTTTACTGCACATGGGATAGTGCCTTTCTTTATCAGAAAAACAACTCGATGGGTTCACGGCGCAGCCGGCTGCTTCAACATCGGCGCAATCCCTTCACCTTTTCTGCAAACGCGATCGCATTTGGTATGCGTAAGCATTGCCTCGCGCAGAGAGCAGCACAGGATTCCTTCTCATTTCGTTAGCTCGCCGTAGTCGATGAACGTGAAGCTATGACGCCTTTATGTGCAGGCAAAAGCGACGCTTGTGAAGCTGCCGGCCGAGTCGCACGCTGAGCCTCCCGAGCATCTCGAAAGCTCAGCTCATACCTCTATTGACTACCTTTGCATTGTAATGTAAGAATGATCGACTCGTTCGTTGTTCCATCGAGCTGCGAGATACTGTGGTACGTCCCAGAGCGCTTTCGTCGTTCGTCAACGTGCTGTCTGATGCTCACTGAAAGGCGGCGCGAGTGTACCCTACGCTCGCTACAAAAGCAGGAAGGCGCACGAAAGGTGTCAGCCTCGAAACTCGTGCGTCGGCCGACTGCCAATAACAGTGTCGTTACCGTCAGCACTGCACTTCGATGTCGGCTCGGGGCAGTAATTGTTTTCTATACTTCACGCGCTGGTTACTCACGCGCGTTTCGACAACGATCCATCTCCAAGGGAGAAGCAGCTGCCCGTCGGCACCCACTGCCCGATCGCACACGTCCAGAGTGGCCAGACGCTGCCGTCCGCTCGCCTTCTCTAGTCAAGTAAAGACGCGCTGCTCACGCGCTTTGCTCGCGTAACTGCAACGCCACACACCTCCCAGTCAATCGTTTCAACCCGTTCTTGTCGCCAAGAACAACGCCATCCGCCCGCAATATCCCACCGCCAGCCCCTCTGCACGTCTCACCCCTTGTCCCGTCCTTCCTTCCTCCCTCCTTCCTTCCTCCACTCCACTCCCTTCTCCTTTCATTCATTCTCGCTTCTCCCTCGTCCCGCTACGGTCATGTTAGCCACCGAAGTAGCCGCCACCGACGACGACAACAGCCATTGCCTCCATGTCTCGAAGCAGCCGTTGACCCCTCGCGCCGCCTACCTCTCTGCTGCGCCAGAGCAGAGCACCGGCAGCAGTACTAGTCACAGCAGTGACGGCAGCTTCCACTCGGATCGCCTCGCGACCGACGAACCGTCCGACGTAACGTTCGACGCGCCGCTCTCGTCCCCACTCGTCCCCCATGACGAGCTCCCACTGCAGCTCCGTAGCAGCAGTCGCTCGTTCGACGCCCCACTAGACCTTCCGCTGCTCCACCCAACAAGAGACAGCACCTCCTTTCGCGACAGCCTCATGCCGCGCAATGGCTTTGGCGAGTCCAACAACAACAATAGCGCCGGCGGACGGCCGACCGAACTCGGCAACGCGCTCATGCGCCTCGACGACCACTACCGTCGCGCTCACCTCACGAGCGCGCGGCTGTCGGCCTCTACCTCCACCACCTCAAAAACCGCTTCGCACGGCCTCCCGCCGCTGCTCGAGGCCGCTAAAGCCGGCGACATTGTCCTCGTGAACGCCCTCGTGATCCAGGCGGGCACGGACCTCCTCCGGCGCGACCCCGTGTTCGGCCAGACGGCGCTGCACTTTGCCATCCGCGGCGGCCACCTGAACGTCGTGCAGGCGCTGCTCATGCCGCAGCTGCGCGACTCGATCGTCAACATCGCCGACACGCGGCGCAACACGGCGCTGCACTTGGCGGCCGCGAAATCGCGTCGCATGACGCGCGTGCTGCTCGCGGCGGGGGCCGACGTCCACGGACTGAACCTGCGGAACCAGACGGCGCTGGGCGTGCACCTCTTGACCGCCACGCGGGACGACCCGACGATGACAGAGCTACTGCTGCAGCACAAGGCGAGCGCCAATGCGCCGGTCGACCAGTCGACGATGCTGCACGTTGCGCTGGACAAGGGACTGCTCGAGATCGCGCTGCGGCTCGTGCGCTACGGCGCGCGCTTGGACCAGAAGGACGAGGCCGGCAAGACCGTGTTCGACAAAGTGGGCGTGGCGCAGCTCCGGACGCTCGTGGCGCAAGTTGCCCATGCGCCCACGTGGGTCGCGGACAAGGACCGTCTCGAGTGCATGGCCTGTCGCAAGACGTTTGGCGCGCTGGCCACGCGGCGCCACCACTGCCGCCTGTGCGGCCGCGTGCTGTGCGCGGGCTGCTCGTCGGCTCACGTGCGCGTGGAGCAGCTGCCGTTCGCGGTAAACAGCGGCCGACGTGGGACGAAAAAGGGCAAAGCGGCAAAGGCGTCGACGCGTGCGCGGACGTGTTTCATGTGCTATGACATTTGCATGGACCGAGCAGTGGTGCCGTCGGTGGACGAAGGCAGAGGCGGACCTGAAGCAGAGCGAGAACGGGCCGAGTTGACCAAACGCGCGTGAGCTGTTTGTTGCTGCCGCTGGTGGTCGTGGCGGCTCTGCTCGTGCTCGACGCTCTGAGTTCGTCGACGCGTGTGGCCGGACGTCGTGAGGTTCGAAGGAGGCGCTCGACGCTTTGTCGTTGACGAGTGGGCTCTCTCAGACGCATGGGAGACGCTGGAGGAACGTGCCGTTGGCTCTCTCTCGCTCTCTCTCTCTCTCTCTCTCTCTCTCTCTCTCTCTCTCTCTCTCTCTCTCTGTTCATGCACGAGTTAGTGCATGACTTGGCGTACGCAGCAGCGATAAGACGATGTGTTTTAATATATATTACGGTACGCGCACACCTACCGAGGAAAAGGCGAACGCACGATGTTCATGACGTCTGGAATACTACTAACGCTAAAGAAGTGCCGAGCAGGTGCAAGTGTGTGCCACCTATGCGGGAGTTAGTGAGGTATACGAAGACATCTACGTGTGTTGTGGTAATCTCGTCTCGCATTGAGACCCAACAGCGGTACATTAGTTTTGCATCAGGTTTGTACACACTGACTCGCCGATTGCGTCACCATGTGAGTAGGTGCTTTGCTCTGGATCGAGTTCTTTCCAGCCTGTAGCACTTCACAAGCTACAAGCGCTTGCAGCTCTGGGGTAAAGACAATGTGGCGGCTGCGCCCCATTTTGTGAAGCACTTAATCGTAGGCAGCAGCTTCTGCCGTTGTCACTGCAAACAGCAGAGCAGATTGTTCTTCTTGAGCAACAACTCAATTACTACGAGTTGATGCGCATCACCTGTCGCGTGTGAGAGTAAAACGACTGCCGCACTCGATACACACGCAAGCAAAGCGTGGCATGTTAGTCTCTTACTGCAACGGTTATCCACGCTACGGCATTGATGCAACGTAAGTGCCATTGTGCTGATAGCAATGCCTTGCCATGCAGATAATGTCGCATGCCTCGCTTACTTGTCCCTTCCGCAAGAGTTTAATATCGCAACACGTCGAGTAACGACTCTTTGTTGGCGTTGCGATATGCTGTCGCAAAGCTGGCATTCTCTTCTGGCAGCACAAAGTCAACTGTCACAGACAGCACGCATTGACTTTGCAAATACGCTGCTTGGACGCTACTTGGAGCTAAAAGGCACCACGGCCGCAGATGGCGTTTTATTCGCGGCTTTGGTGAAGAGACGTGACGATGCCTGCCCATTCATGTGTGCACTTGTAGTGTCGAGCAGAGCAGAATTGAGCAGGTAGATTCAACTTTTATTTTTATACCAAATTGTCCGTAGATGTTGAGGACATTCAAACGAGACCAGAGGTACTTTCGGAACCGCTTACGTCGTAGTTGCTATTGTCAAAACGTACTGATCGGATAGGATCAAGACACAAGTTGCGTCGGAGATACACAAAGGGGGACCCGCAACTTCACCATGTACATAATGTGCAAGAATGGCACACATGCAGACGATGTATACGATACATCTGTACGAACTGCCGGACGTGTCAACGTTGGCTATGCCAGGTGAGGGTACCTTATTCGTGACATTGAACTTTGACACGTGTTTCAAAAGTTACTAAGCTACGAAAGACATCGGTAAATTTTGCTGCATTCGGTGCACTTCAGTCATGGGGGTGGGATGCCAGAAACGGGTGTACGACAAGAAATCTTTGCGGAGCATGACAGTTGACGAATGTGTTGGAAGAACGTGTCTTTCTAGTTGAACAACGATCGAGTCCCAAGCCGCCTTCTACCTTTCTTATTATCCATTTAGGTTGTATGCTTGGTTTGGCAGCGACAGAAAAGATGGAAAGTGAGAAATCTTACGCTGATACCAGGAAGATGTAAGGACCGGCTGCAGTTCGGATGTGGTCTGGTATGTAGGGCACGCATAACGTTGGTTCATCAGTTACTATCAAGATCACTTCTTCGGTGATTTCCGTAATCTCAAATAAGAATGTAGAGGCTCTATGGGGCAAGGAAGTACTTATAAGCGCGACACCTAATTACGCACAGAGAGCGTGCGTGGGGAAAGCGCAGGTGATCATGTTAAACGTCAATACGTAACGCAGCGACCACAGAACACACATTGAAAGCAAGAAGAGAGTGTTATCATTTCCATTATCTCCTGGCTAGTTATCAAATTGTCGCTGCAGGAGAAGTTATACACTGCAACTTTTTCTGTCGTTCGACGCGAGCCGATCAGTAATGAAAACTTTACACCCAATTCCTTGGTACGTGACCGTATGGCCTGCCTTTTCACACTCGCCCTCTTCGACACTGTCCTTACAATAACATTCGTTCCTTGCTCTGTCACCATCGGCTCCAATCGATTTGTTACCAACCCATAACTTGGCGCAATACATGCGACCTGGGTGTAGCTAACGCCTTTGTAAATATGTCCGCAGGAAGTGTCACTGTATCTTGATGTTCGGTTTCATGTTTTACTATATGTATATCAACCAGCAAACTTTATGCGCACATATACTTATTTGCCTTTGCTGATCCTCTCTCACCGTCAAGATGCTACAAGCTGCTTGATTATCAACGCGCAGCGGCATCGTCTCTATGAGCCTACGTTCCAATTATGGTAGTAGCTCGTGAATGCCAAACGTTCTCGAGTCATAATCAGCGTAGCTGTGAACTCAGCTACCATGGTCAAAAGTTGTACACCACCTTGCACATCCAGCTAAGATGTCATAGACCGTTGTTAACAAACTCAGATCTTTTTAATCTTTGTCAGCAGCAATATATGCATCGTTGTATGCAACCACAAGCAAGACTTTTATGCCATTCACTTTTCCAGCCGTAGCAAGAACTGATGTTTTGTGCCGCATGCCTCAAGAAGAACCCTTGTTCCGCGAGGTGAGACTATAAGCTGGCTATGGTACCTTGCGATTTCCTCAGTCAGTATATCGTCCCTCATTGTGGGCCGATGGCTTCTTATCGAGACTATGTGTACCGCGATAGCAATATCTAGTCTGGTGAAACGTGAAATGTAAACTTTCTACAAGTGAATGAAATCATCTCACTGTCAACACCTTATCGCCCCCAGAAAGCCGTAATTTGTCTAAACTTGATTTGTAAAATCGTTTTAATGGTGAGTAAAAGGCAAACGTCGACAATGTCCCATTTCGATATTGTTCCTTCAACATTCGCATAATTATGGAAGACGTTTTCATTTTCTTCCTTGTACAGTCTTCCCTCTGCTAAGTTATAGACTTGGTGGAAGGCAAATCTTATAACATAGCAGAGGTTATTCCATAGCAGAGATATGCTGCGGAAAAATTATTAATTTAATTAATTAAAGAATTAAAAACGCAACAAACCTCCAGGCTTCCAAAACCTGTCTGTCACGTGTCACGTGCCCTTTGACGATTTTGTGATTTTGGTTGCCCCACCAGTCTCTGGTGATTTTGCTATCTCTGGTTAAGAAGTTCCACCAACTGTACCTTGCTCACTCACAACAGATGTCGCAAATACGTCTTACCAACGAGCAGAAGCTGCGCATCTGCAAGCACCAGGATGCTAACCCGCGCATCACCCAGACTGCCCTGGCGGCTTGGACAAAGGACGCCTTTGACCTCCAGAAGGCACTTTCCCAGGCAGCGATCAGCAAAATCATCAAAAAAAGAAGGAGATTGAGGCAATGGACACCACTAACCTCAGCGCTAAGCGTCCTCGGACTGTCCAGCACCCAGCTGTGGAGGAGGCCGTCGCCTTCTGGGTCTTGCAGTGCCAGCACCGTGGGGTCGCTCTCACTGGAGATCTCATACGGGCCAAGGCTCAGACTTTTGCGGCATCAATGGGCGTCTCGGAGGAAAACATCCGCTTTTCGGATGGGTGGCTCTCACAAATTCCAGCAGCGCCACAAACTGCGAGCTGTCCGCATTCATGGCGAGAGTGGCTCAGCAGATATGGGCGCTCTAGAGGAGGGTCTTCCACACCTCAAGGCCGTGGTTGCTGGTTATACTCCACGTGACGTGTACAACATGGACGAAACTGGTAGGTCTGAGAATACAGTACAGTACTGTACTCATTGTACAGTACAGAAGCATCTCAAAGGCTCACTTTCTGTTCAGGGTTGTTCTGCAGTATGACGCCCGACAGAACGATTGCCCAGCAAGAGGTCGAAGGGTTTAAAAAAGACAAGGTACATTATTGCTCTCATCTTGGTTTCCTGCGTTTCTCTGACACTAACAACTATTCTAGACGCGCATCACAGTTGCTCTCACGGCAAACGCTGATGGATCCGACAAACTCCCGCCGTTCTTCATTTGACACGCCAAAAAGCCGCGGTGTTTTGAGCGCAAGACAGCTGAGCGACTGGGCTTTCTCTACCGCAACAACAAGAAAGCCTGGATGACTGGCATACTCTTCCAGGAATGGCTGGGAGACGTCGACAAAAGTATGAAGGTAATTTGGGGCATGCCTTGAACATCATCGTTGTGGTACAGTAAATGAGGTTTGACTAACGCGTTGACCACAGCAAAAGGATAGAAAAATCCTGCTTCTCATGGACAACGCTCCTTCACACATTGTTGCTGACCTGGAACTCACCAGCATCACGGTCCAGGCTCTTCCTCCTAATACGACTTCAAAGGTCCAACCCATGGATGCTAGGATCATTGCCGCATTCAAGAGGCACTACCGCCGGCTGCATCTGCAGAATGCCTTGGACCGTGACGAGCGCGGAGAAACCAACCTTTACAAGGTTGATCAGCTCACGGCCATGCGTTGGTCGCTGGCTGCGTGGAGCGAGATTTCCAGTGCCACAATCGCCAACTGCTTCCGTCATACGGGACTCATGGACGGTCCGGCTCTGCCGACTGGTGGGGGTGAAAGCGAAGCCGGCACTGTTGGCCAGCAGGCCCAGCAGGAGGCAACAGCTGCTGCAGTAGAGGAGCAGCGCGTGGAACAGGATCTTGTTTCGGCGCTGGAAAGGCTCCCGCTCCGCAATCCCATGTCGATCGCTTCTCTTTTCAATCCGGCTGAGGAGGAGGAGACGGCGCATGCGGAGCTGACCGATG